AGAATTTGGGAACTGGACGTAATCCCATCTGACTGGTCTCAATCACTGATTGTGCCAGTCTATAAGAAAGGACAAAAGTCCTCTTGTGACAATCACAGAGGAATCAGTTTGACTAATATAGTGTCTAAAATATTAGCTTCAATAATACTTCGACGCCTAACAAAGCTCGTGAAGAGCAGACTAGAGAAAACCAGGCTGGTTTTCGACCTGGACGTGGTTGTATAGATCAGATATTCACACTACGTCAGGTTCTAGAACACAGACACACATTCAGACGCCCCACAATGGTAGTATTTCTCGACCTTAAGGCGGCATTCGACTCTGTTGATCGTGAGGTTCTATGGCAGTGTTTGTCACTGAAAGGAGTACCAAAGAAGTACATTAACCTTATAAAGGCTCTCTACTCGAACACAACTGGTAGAGTGAGAGCTTATGGCGAACTGTCATCAGAATTGATTACCTCAAGTGGTGTTCGTCAGGGCTGTCCACTCTCCCCATTCTTGTTCAACTTTGTGGTCGACGTACTTTTAGAGATAACACTCTCCTCATCTAAATTTCCAGGGGTTGAACTTCTACCGGGAGGTTCACTTGTTGACTTAGAATATGCTGATGACATAGTTTTATTTGGTGAAGACGCTGACAAAATGCAGAGTCTTCTGACCACTCTAAGCAACAATGCAAGCATGTTCGGGATGCGATTCTCTCCCTCGAAATGCAAAATGTTGCTTCAGGATTGGGTTACATCGACACCCGAACTAGTGATAGGGAGTGAAGTAGTTGAGTGTGTCGACCGCTTCACTTATCTTGGAAGTCTCATCAGCCCTTGTGGTCTGGTGTGTGACGAAATCTCAGCACGGATACAGAAGGCTCGACTAGCTTTTGCCAACTTGCGTCATTTATGGCGTAGGCGAGATATCCGTCTATCAACCAAAGGACGTGTTTACTGCGCAGCAGTTCGTTCCGTCCTACTTTATGGCAGTGAAACATGGCCGGTAAGAGTAGAGGATATTCGTAGGTTACTAGTATTTGATCATAGGTGTCTTCGAAATATTGCTCGTATATCATGGGACCATCGAGTAAGTAACACAGTTGTTAGGAAACGGGTACTAGGTAAGGATGGCAAATCAATTGATTCATCAGTTGAGATGGCTGGGACACGTGTTACGTATGCCCAACGACCGACTGCCTCGACGTGCTATGTTCAGTGGTATAGGAGTAGGTTGGAAGAAAGCTAGGGGCGGCCAAACCAAAACATGGCACAAGTCCATGAAGTCACTGACAAGTGGACTGAGTCATGTTGGTAGGTGTAGACTACCTGGTTGGGGACCGCGAGATGATAGCAACCGATGGTTAGAGACCCTGAATGACATGGCTCAAAATCGTTTGCAATGGCGCAGGTGCATCCACTCTTTGTGTTCTCCCAAATTTTGATCTCCTTATTCCTCCTTGTCTCTTTTTTTCTTTTTCTCCTCTCAAATTTATTTCACTGTATTATACTCTTTAAATAACATCTCCAAACACTAATCTTCCCGATTACTGCTTATACTCTTATTACCTCTACCACTACGGGATTTGAATCGACCACTGCATCTCTGTGCTAATGTGGTGTGGCAACTCGAACTGATGTACGTACGTACGAAGTTCTACGTTGTTACTGACTGACTGACTGAGCCAGCCCTATCTGTTGTCCGACCTGCATAAGTGTGCGGACGTTGAAGACAGCCAGTTTGAATTGTGCACGTGGTTTCAGAAAAACTGCTTCAGTATTCGTATCCGGTGGTAGCATACAATTTTCAGCCAGGCAGTGACTCGAGAACGTTTAGATAGAACCGAGTTTCCACCATAGGTGAGCCGCTGTATAAGTCGAAAAATAAGGATACATAAGGTGGGAATAAAATAGTGAATAAATGATGTAAATATTAATAATAATAGTAATAATAATAATTATTATAATAATATGAATCGTTGACTGTTAATCGAAGCAAGACAAGTATTTTCCATAAATATCAACATTTCATCGTATTTGTGTGTGGGCTGTAATGCTGCCCGGGTACCCATACCGAAGCAGGTGGTTTTCATGGGGGGCCACACTCCGAGCATTTGACCTAAAGGTCTAACCCACAGGGCATTGGAGCATCGTCAGGAGATGCAGTCCCATGGAAGCCGGTGACCAAGATTGGTTCATACGCCATTTGTTCCTGCAGGATACTGGAGCCCATGTGCACCATTGGTTTAGGATCCGGTTAAAGCGCCGGACATCTGCCTTTCGCCCTCTCATTTTTTGTAGACAACACCCCCGCCACGAGAAGGCAGTGAGTAGGACTTCCCTGGCAGAGGCTGTATACGCGTGGCCATGTGAGAGCATTTCGAGAGGAAGGGTGTGCCCACCCCACTCTCGGCCATACCAGGGCATTTGGGGGCACCCTTAATTAAAGATAGTGGACTAATTGAGCACATCGACCGCTTTACCTATCTTCGGAGTCCCATTAGTCTAGATGGTTTGGTTTTTGACGCGGAATCAGAAAGCTTGATTGACTTTTGCCAAATTGTGTCACTTGTGGCGTGGTCTTCCAACCAAAGGACGCGTTTCTTAAGCAGCAGTTCCGTTCTACTGTATGAGTGTGAAACATGACTATTAAGAATAGAATATACTCTTAGGTTACTATTGTTCGAATATAGGTATCTTCGAAGCACCGCTATTGTATTTTGAGACTACCGAGAGAGCAGTGTCTGGTTTACAAATAAGGTACTATGGAAGGATGGCACATCGATTGATGACATAGTAAATCTTCATAAACTTAGGTGTTTGGTAGATGCGTCATGTATGCCTAACTTCTGTCTACACTGACGGGCAAGATTGGCTGGAAGAAAGCTGGGGGCGATTAAACCAAAACATGCCATCAGTCCATAGAGTTATTGATAATTGGACTTGGCCATATAGGTATGTGCAGGCTACCTGGTTTGTATTCATGCAATTATTGTAACCAGTGATCGAAGACATTGAGTGACGTAGTTCAGAATCAATAACAGATACACAGATGTATTTACTCTTTGCCCTCTCTAAGATTTTAAGTTCCGAATCGTTCCTACACCTTTTTCGCACCTAATGTTTTGTACTACGATAGTGTTGCTACTTTAAATACTCCGGTGTTTGACGTGACAATTTTAGCTCACTGTGCTATCGTGAACTGGCAATTTAAACCAATCCACGTACGGAACATATGAGTGACTAAGTGCCGCTCATTACTACATGATGACATTTGATGTAACCTAATTACTGTCTAGATCCTCATATAATGCACAAAAGCAATATTATCCAGCTGTTTAAATCACTTTTTTAAAGTTTTATTACTTAGTTTGCCTTTCACCCGTATTAATAACGGAAAAAAAACAATTTGAGAAATCCTCCGAGTTGGCCTACTAAAAGTTTGTGATCCGAAATTTAATTTGCAAGTTAATAACAATCATTTACTGAAATATACTAGGCTTTTTATTATATGGACTATCATTGGAGGCATTTCGCTGTAAAGGAGAGAGAATTTGAAGACTAGTATCGTAAAATCCAAATCAATTAACTATAAACGGATAAAATGATCGTCGTGTAGCCTTTTTAGAAGTCAGTCATAACGTAGAACGTGGTACTTATGTACATCCATTTAAGATACCGAATCCATTAGCACAGAGATGAAATCGTCAGGCCGAATCCCAGAATAGTAGAAGCAGTATCTAATGAGGTCCCCATTTTTGTTGTCTGGTAAACGTGTATTGACTGATTTCCAAACGCATATACGTAAAAGGTTACAGCAACGAGAAGTTGAACAGATACAATGATAAACTAATTGCATATTCGCGGACCGTCCCGTGCATGCAAATATTGTTTAGTTAATCATTTATGTAAAGGTCAAAAGTGTATATGGGAGCTAGAAAAACTATTTAAAGTGACTGATTGATTTTAAGAAATGTCAGAATAACGATCTTTGTTTATTTTCGAAGAATGATTTGTAATGCTTTACCTCACCACGCTTTATACTAATACAAAGGGAAAAATATGACCAAAACATTACAAGGACAGATCCGAATGGATAAAAATCAAAGTGAATAAGGATCAAAAGCGGAGTGGAACCACTCGAAATTTGGACCTCAGAGGAAAATTACAAGCTAACACCTTTTTAGAAATATTTGACGTCCCAGATCACTTAACATGGTTACTATGAGCACTATACACCAAATAACCTTTATACATGACCTCTGTCCCGTTATCAATATATCACAAATGTGTTTTCAGCGATTTCTTTACCAAAATTAATACACTTGAATTTCAATTTAACAATGGTTTTAGTGGATGTACCTATTCTAATGACTCTATGTATTACTCATGTTTTATGGATTCCCTTAGTCAATATTCTTCCACTCAGAAGTATTATACAATTTTAATCGAATTCTCACAAACACGGTTGTCTGTTGACCTATAAATTATACTGTACAGTGTTGATAATGAAATAGCCTACAAACACTCCTTCACCAATTTGTTTTAAAACAATAGGTAGTTCCCAGATTTTACCACGTACTCTCTGACTCGCGTAGGTACATTTAGATGCGTAACGGTGGGGGTCCAACCCGAATAGATATATGACATCATAACCAATATAACAGCAATTTTGAAAATACGATTGAGGGCTATAGACCAACGGAGATTAGTTCAACTCACTCCTAAATTAGTTGCAATAAACTTATTTCATACCCATAAATTAAAACCGACAGAAACGTGCAAGAACTAAGGGACAACACAGAAAAAATACTTTTACAGCTCTCAGAGGTCTGTTTTATGGTCTAACTTGATCAAGTTGAAATGTGGAAAATGTATATGGAAGACTGGAAGCTGCTATCGAACTTTCGTTTCTAATATCACACTGATTCACTTTTTCTTACATGTTCGAATTGCGAATATGATACCATTATTACAAAAAGTATTACATTTACCACATAACAAAAAAACGTACTATGAACTCTCGACGCTTGCGGCCCTCAGGAAAACCGTCAACCGGATCAAAGACAGGGCCTTTGAAGATATCCGGCATAGATTCTGGGTCCTTATACGTTGCCAGAACGTGACCCATCGTTGACAATAAAATCCAGAACGGAATCGAACCCACCCCCCACGACCTTGAGTACCTTTGTTCAAATGATTCAAACAGAAGTGAACAGAATGAACGTCTTCGCCTAATGAGCTCCTGTACTTGGTGGCTATGGGTCATTGGTGTCCACATTTGAAGATTTAGGTGTCTTGATTTGTAAAGATAGAAATATTAGCCGCTCTACTAGGTATACTGCCAGTCCTGATCCCGGTTAAAGGAGAACTAGGTGTATGGTCAGTATCCTCATCCCGTAAAATACAACCATGATAAAACAACGCTGAACAGAATAAACATATTAAACTACGTCTTGGGAATTGAAAGAAGAATTATGATGACTCATGATGAAAGCCGAGCTTCTTCGCAAGTCACGAAGCCGATTCATATAGTAAAAATCAAGGCAACAATCTTTATGCTTGCACGCAACGTCTAGACAATGCGTAAGATCGTGAGGGCTAGTCAAATATCTTCGAAAATGAGGAGATACAACTTGAGGGTTCTCGGAATAAGCGAAACTTATTGGACCCCATCTGGACAATAATGGATGTATACGGGTAAGAGGCTACTGTACTTCGTTTACGAGGAACAAAATGCTCCATACACAAAGAGATATGCTCTGATACCGTCTAAAGAAGCGCACGGAGCACCTATAGAATAGGAAACTCATGGGCTCATGGGCGTCAAAACATCTTAAAAACAAAGGAGGAAATCACAATGAATGTTATCCAATGTTATGCACCAACCAATTATAGCAACGACGACATTAGATACCAGTTTTACGAGAGGCTTCAATCGATTGTTGTGAGGCGCTCAAGAAGCGACTTCACAACCCTGATGAGAGACGTAAATGCTAAAGTCGGAAAGAACAACACCAGGTATCAAGATATCATGGGACGACATGCATTGGGAGAGAGAAACGAAAACGGTGAGAGTTTTGCAAATCTATGTACATTCAACAAAGTGATTATAGGAGGCACAATGTTCTCACACAGACGCATACACAAAGTTACATGGACCTCACCGGACAACATCACGGAGGACCAGCTCTAGCATATTTGTATTGCTAAAAATTCAGATCTATGGAAGACGTGCGAATCAGGAGAGGAGCTGATATAGCTTCAGATCACCACCTGATGGTAGTCAAGATCAAACTGAGGCTAAAGAAGCACTGGAGAACTGGGGAAACAGCATTACAAAGGTTTAATACCTACCTCCTTCGAATTAATAACAAACTGAATTCAAGATAACCTTCGACAACAGGTTCCAAACCTTACAGGATCCACTGAAAGAAGAAACTACTATGGAGGACAACTGGATAGCGATCAAAGAAGCACTAACTTCAACGTTAAAAAACGTTCTGGGTCGCAAGGAGCATCATCATAGGGAATGAAGCTCTATGGATACCCTGGACGAAATTCAAGAAATGAAGATCAAGAAGACATTAATGAACAACAGTCGAGTAAGAACAGAGAAAGTCAATGCACAAGCTGAATGCACAGAAGCAAACAAATAAATGAAGAGGAACATTGGAGGCGATTAGCAGAAATAAGGGAAACACCTAGCAAGGACAGTAGGAAAAGCTGCGAAAGAGGAAATATGAAAACACTGTATGACATGTCAAAGAAACTAGCAGGGAATTACGGTAAACTAGGGATGGCTTTCAACAGAGTGTTACCGAAGCGGACGATAGACTTAACCTTGAAGTCAACATGCTGGATTGCGGAAAGATCAGTCGTGCAGACAATATCGCGACATTACGTTTCATCGTTGAAGATTGGAAAGCCAAGGCAGCATTCCTACAAATGAAGAACATACGGAACTCAAAACAGCTGCTTACCAAGATCAAAGTCAGAATCTTCAATATGAACATCAAGACAGTCCTATTTCACGGAGCCGAAACGTGGATAACTACTGCAATAATCGTCAAAAAGGTATAAGTATTTATAAACACTTGTCCATACAACATACTAAATATCCGCTGACCGGATACACTCAACAACAGCCTACTGTGGGAGAGAACGAACCAGATTCCATCTGAAAAGGAAATTAGAAAATGACGTTGGAGGTGGATAGGACGTGTACTGAGGAAATCACCAAATTGACTCACGAGGCAGATGCTAACTTGGAATCCTTATAGGAAACGAAAAAGAGGTAAGTCAGAGAACACACGGGGTCAAGAATAGGAAGCAGATATGAAAAGTACAAATAGGGACTGGAAAAAAGTATCGATCAGTAAAGAGTTGGATTGAGAATACTGGTGGCGAACTACGCTCCTCCACGGGGAGGGTGTAACAGGCGTAAGTTATGGTGAAATGATGTGTTGATTCCTATGGAGTGTGTACATAAAGAATATTTCAGCCATATGTTGCTGCACTGAAATCACAAAATCACTGCAAAAATCATCAACAAAAGTTGACAGTTATCATTTATTAGTCATCAATAACTAAGAAAAACTCCAGTTCCCCTAACGCTTATTTTTGTGTAGTCCTATTTTACTATAAAATACATGGATCGGAATACAAGAAATTATGGAGACGTGACAGAAACTGTTTACTATACGTTTTTTGTGTTATACTTTTAACCTAACTATATATACAACTTGTAAACTTATTTTTCTGCGCCAAATGTCATTCTATTTTTATCAGTGTTATTGATAAACAAACAAACTGTTGTACGATTTTTTTTATATTCGTTATAATTTCATGGGGAGGTAATCTCAATAATAATAATAATAATAATAATAATAGTAATAATAATAAGTTATTCTCAAATAACAGTCTGTTACATGAGGCATGCCAGTTTACAGGCGAGATCAAGTTGTTACAGGAAATACATTATAGGATTATGTAAAGTTTTAAAATATAGTGCTGAAAACAGTATTCTGATACACAAATGGCTATCTTCTTTTTTCGTCGAAGCTACTTCCGCTCAATTATATTTTTATTAATTTTATAGGGTCATGAGCACGCTTCGTCGTTACCGAATTGTCTATCATAACGAGTAACTGCTTATGAGAATAATAAACAACTAAATGTTTGCTATATACGTACATTTTTCGTTATGAAAACATGTAGTACTGCCTAAGTTTATGAGTTTCTCTTAAATAATACATTATATATATGTAGAATTATAGTCTACTTCGATATTAGTAGTGCTCTAATAATAGACTTAATCCCCAAATTGTAGAGTTGTCACGATGTAACTGCCTAATCTATAAGATCTTACGTGGAAGTCACATCATTATTTATACAAACTCACCGCGTCGTAACAAGAACACACTTGGGCTAGAGATAGAACAATATATTTAATATGAATAAAAGGCATATAGCAACACTCAAAAATGACCACGCCTGCAAGGCCGATCCATGTCACCCGATGAATTCAGATTAACTGATTTCGTTCTTCCTGCTTTCTCAATCGTTAATTTTTTCTCCGCGTTAAATGTTGAGTATATATTTCCCCAGTCGTCTCGTGTTCAGCTTTGAGGAATGTGTGGTTAGGGCCACTACATTAAAGATGCTACAGGTATTCAGAGTTTGATAATGCTATGAATCGTACCCACCAAGTGAAATCAAAAGACAGAGGCGAGGAGGTTCGAAAATATATTTGATAAGCCATAAATATATCGTGAATCGTCTGATCTAATCTGGCTAGCGATTGCAGTAGATGCTGAGCACGGCGTTTCCAATCATGATTTGGTGCGGATGCATGATCGAGCGTCTCCAGTTAAGTGAGTCCATTAAAACCAATGTGGTCAGCATCCAATGTCGAAAACTTACAGAGCTATTTATTTTGGGGATTTATCTACCGCTACAACATATATACGTTTTTTCACTGTTAAATTATATTCAAATGAATACTAGCAGGACTGATAGTGCAAACAAATACAAGCGTTCGCCAAGCCGTCGCGGGATCTGAGACTTAACAAATCCATTTCTTGTAGTATACTTCTGCCAAAAATCGAAAGACTGTATATAGTTGTCTTATTTATGTTTAAATAATTCATCAGATGAATGATCGCGGAAGTGTTCAACAATAAACACAGTTATGGTCATTTTGTAAATTGTCTATTGATATTATTTTCTATATATGCAGCAATTGTTAAGTTGCTCACCTGTAAAGACTAGAATATTTGGAAGTTCAAAGTCTTCAAATCACTTGCCAGGAGCCATAAGATGCAAGTCAGAAAACGTGTGGATAGTTTCTTGGCCTAACCAATGAACTTCTGAAAAACAACAAAGCAATCGTTATACAAACGTCATAACGTCCATATGATTATCGAATGGATGGGAAACACAGCTAAAAGAATGGAGCTATTTGCCTTACTTGTTGTAAACAATGCCCTTCATTTTTCAATCCTCCTAAAATTTTAACTATCCATTTAGCATTTATAAAGGAAATACAGGCACAAAATAGACAGATTAAAAACTTCAAGTGGTATTACTTAATGTCAGAAAACTTCAAGTACAAAGTTCATAATACTATTATTAATTCCTAGTTTATACACAGTAATGACATCACTGAGAAGCACTATTTAAACCTTGCTCAACAATATGCATTAGATCTCTGCTTATAAATCGGTTAGTGATTGAAAATTCTGTTTACAAAAATTTCATTCACAGTCTGCACAACAGACACATCAGTAATTCGCATTCTCCAACAACATAGCTCACTTACCATGTTCGAAACAATCACGCATCGTTTTACTTATGAAGTATATGCCACTACTTATGGTAACTCTTGTAGTAATGTTATATATAATTCCTGGATATGCTTAGAAATCAGAAAGAAAAGGCTGTCAGTATCAACTATTACCCATATAACTTTTCGTTCTCAGATAAGTTATATAATAATATGTCAGTTCTGTCAGAGGTGAACATATCTGCATTTACAAAACAACTGCCAGACATCCATGTTCATTGGCACGCTTTAGGATGGTGAATCAAATGTTAAAAGATTTCGGAGCTCATTTTTACTTAGAAAGTTTGACTGCAGTCGGTCTCTGACTTAATGATTATAAATTTCACTTTACTTTGCTACAAATGACCACATTAAGTTGACTTAACGTCCGTTCAGGTAGTGAAAAGCAGCTACATCAAACTACTGATTATCTGGGATAAAAGCAGACACAAACATTATGAAAATTGGCGTGTGTCGGCAAAAATGCTGTTAATAGCTAATAAATAACGACATCCAAAATCCTAGACAATACGAGACGTGCACAATAACCCATAACCTGTTGTAATCAGCCAACTTTGGAGAGGATCCAAGGTCTTCCTGAATTGCCAGAATATTATTTTGGCTGAAAACCACTCTTCAAAGTTTCAACTAGTTAGAAAATAGTGATGAATCGGACACTACTTGCTGAGGACGTTCACTTCCATGAATTAAGAAAGAAAGTGACCCTAGAACTGGGCCATGAGGAACCCACTACGGCATTCCGTAGCCTGAGTAAAAGTGAAATCTACCCCTGCTTGATAACGGAAATGATGTAGATATGAAGCGGGCCAATAAACTAATAGTGATTAGGTAACTAATTGTTTCACCTTGTTGATCAGATGCAAGTGAGTTGATAAACCTGGAGCCTATGACAGTGAGATCACTTTTCCCAGAAGAGAAAGGATTTAGAAGTCTTCAACTAAGCATTCTTCGTTTGTAGATGCTCATTCCAAGCGTGACGTTGTTTAACTGTTTCTCGACCGGATTGTTAGGTTCACACCTACAAGTGATCCCGAATCTTTACTGAGGTTATGAAACAGAGCATCATTAGAGTTGTCGCATCAAATGTACTTCAATTCAAAAAATAGGCATCGAGTAGATTTAAATACATTCGAATCAAGACAATTTTCTGCCAACCTCCATACCGTTTTAACCCATTTCATCTGAAACTCTGGGGGGAACTTCTTTACCATACTTTCTAAAGTTCCTCGAGAGTTAAGATCAACTGAGTGGTCCATTTTTTCTGAGGCTATCCAATAATTTTCAGTTTCTGTTACCAGCTTAGACGGAATTTTCTGTCAACATGTTCTATACTGAAACCCTCAATCAAATCTTTTAGCAAGGGCCGGCCGACTTCGTGTGTTCTGTCAAACAACTGTCTCAGTATAACGCATGTTCTACGATGATCGGACGACAATGGAAAATGATGTATTCATCTATGGCCTCCCGAACCTTTCCTCTATCATAACATAATGTTGTTACATTGGTACAAGACTAACATTTTTGTTTTCTCTGGAGCCAACTTATTTCTAAAGTTGTGAGAATGGCTAACTAAACGGAGAACATACTCTTGTCGTTTGTCATCACAATTTGGAGAAAGGATAGTTCAATAATCATGTTCTCTTTTTGCTTTGATGACCCGAACTCTCACTGAAGGCATGGCAATTGTTTACTCTGTCTATACTTCAACTCTTTAACTACTAACATTTTTCCTTCGTCGACTATCTTTCAAATCTGTTATGGTGATCCTAGAGCTGATACCACTAATTCAAACAGATAATCTAACATTAGGGCTATGATAAGAAAGTTCATTGATAGGGACTCGTCATATATCTGGAGATGCATCTGTTGGCATTCCTTCTTAGTTCAACACTGAACATATGGGGATCTTGTTGCGCTTAACAGGCATTCCATTATTAATCAGCTGTTATTACTGTTGGTTTGAGAATTTCGACGATTAAAGTGCTAATATTAGGTTTGAACGCAGAAATAACGGATACAAAAACTTATCCGACCAGGCCAGATTACGTCCTTCCGTATAGCAAACAAAGCGTTCTCTATTTATTTGTATTGAATTATATCAAAACACAAACTCTGTGCTTAACTCAAACGGTTCTGATTTAATAACGAAATCAAGTTTTATCAAAACTACTGCCGTCCTGGAAAAGAAAAAAGGAATATGTAAGTGCATGTCGAAATGAACTCGTAGGCGCTTTAACACACAAAATGGGCGAAAAAGGTAAATAACGTAAAAACAATTTTCGCAAAATGTTTTTTTGCTTTTCTTATAAGAAATTTTTAATATACATATTAGCCAAATAGTTAATACATATGAATATAAGCAATCAAAAATTTTTTTATATTAAACATAATGACATGGAAAATCGAGAGGAAACAAAATGATAACTAGTGCCTTACGTGCAATAGTCATTTAGATGTTCTGGAAATCTAACTCTTCTTCCAGAACGTGTCGTTTTAAGTTTATTTTCAGATACTGTCGAAGTATCATCATGCGTGCTGGATGTCGAATGAGGTAATATAAGTGTCGGAGTCGTGTCGTTCGTTTCTATCGAAGGAAAATCGACGTGGATAGGATTTCCTTCTAAATACGCTGCTTTGAGGCGATTGATGCCGATGCTAACGTTGGTTCCGTTCTTATCGATTATATAGTACTTCGGTTCGCGTTGAACAACTTTGAAAGGTCCTTCGTATGCTGATTCGAGAGGCCGTCGATGTGAGTCTCAACGAACGAAAACGTGTGTACTATATGGTAAGTCAGGTTGGACGAAAACATCAGTTGATTGCGGTCGAGTGGAGACAGGTTTAACTGAATGCATTGCGTTTGTAAGCCTGTTCGTGTAGGAGGTTAGATCCATGTTCATTGAAGAAGACGAAGGATCCACGGATTCTCCTGGAAGTCGAAGTGTTGTTCCATAAACCAGTTGAGCTGCAGTGTATCCAATGTCAGTTTCCACTGCATTGCGAATACCT